AGTTTATGCATTCCTAATAGTCCAACTACTTTAGAGTGAATAGACCGATAGATGCATAAAAACGATTCTACCACTTTTGTAAATCTCACTTATTCCCGCGTTCGTACATGATGGGTAAATATTTAAATTAGTTTTTGATTTCGATCATAGAGTTATCTCAGTTAAACAGCTGCTAAGGACTAAGGAGTACTGTCCAGCTGTTTTGTCCTTATTAGGAACTCTTCTGCAATACGCACATATGAATCCACCAAGGATCGAAACCAGCACCTTAAGAACATGTGCCGACCTCACTGACCATTTAACAATTGAAAATCGATGGTCCTTTGGATCCTATCTCAGTGGGTTATTGTTCAATGGCCTCGTATTGTAACTTAAAAGTTTTGGGTCTGATCCCTGTGAGGGTCATCGATTCATGCTGGTGAGGATTCACAAACCAGGACAGAACAGTTGTCCAGTGCCCCTTAGTTTTCAGTGATAGTCTGACTAAAGTCGGTTCATCATCAAATTCAAAGTCAGCTGAATCCCTAAAAACCAATACTTGAAAGATAAATAAGTCTGCAATATTTTATCCGTCAACAAAATATCTCGGAAAATAGCGAAGAATAATCAAATTTTATACTAAGGCTCTCGAGATTAGTGAGTTTAGACTAAATGCTGTGTAAGATGGAAGAACGTCTAGAAAAAAAGGTATCACTGAGTAAAGTAAAGAGATAACTATCGAAACAGGTTATGTAATAGGGGAGCAAAGTGCATTAATGGTTAGTTAGGAGAATGGTACCAGTTATTATTATAACAAGACTACAACACAAAATATATTAATAATAGCAAAATACTGATAGAATCTGGATTTGAAATTATGTCCAAGGTAGAAAGGTTTCTTCTGTGTACATAAATCTAAGTTTTCCATAGAAATGTTAAAAAAAATAAGGAACCATGACGTTTCAGAAAGGATTCTTTATACTTTGTGCATAATTTCCAATGACTTTTCCTTACAGATTATTCAAGTATTGGTTTGAAAGTATTTGATTGATCGGTTACAGGATTTCATCATAAGCTGACATCGGTTATAGAACCATTGGAAAATCTGGGAGTACTGGTTAGCTGTTTCGTAACCCTAGTTTGGGACCCTTCAGCAGTACGCATCCACCATCAGAGTTCGAACCCATTACGAGGCAAGCTCGTAGATCATCGGGCCACTAGGGTACAGCAGATATAAGGACAAATACTCTCCGAAGACATTGGCTAGTGGTCGCGCTTTATCGTAAATTGGCAGAAGTTGTAATTCATGGACTGGTCATTAGAAAGGATCTCTTCGGCTTAATGGTCTACGAATTCGCCTTGTGACCAGTAGGTCCTGGGGTCGAACTCTAGTGGTAGGTGCGCAATGATGAAGAGTCCTAAACTAGGCTGACGAAACAGCTCTCCAGTACTCCCCGGTGGTTTTCCAATGGTCCTCTAACCAACGTCAGCTTATGATGAAATCCTGTAACCTTAGAGAATAACTGATCACTGTTGAACACATATATGTGTATGCAGCTGTAAAAGATTTGTATCAGAGCCACAACTGTCTCTTCTGTTAAACCTTAGTAGACCATTATACTTAACATTCCAATGCAAGAAAATAAACGTTGAGGTAAAGAATGCAAGCTGAATTTCTAATACATTTTTTCATTCGGTTGTGTTCTCTGGGCTGGTTAATTCAATAACATTGTTCTTTTAGATAACATTTTTAGAAAACAGATTTTACCAACTAAATATATCATTTTACCAAATTCTGTTCTCCCATGCTAAGTACTATAATACAATGAGTAAGGCTGAGGTTATTTATGGATCATTAGATAAGGCGGATAAGTCATTTTGTGAAGATCTGAAGCTACTTACATCAGCTGCGATGGTTAGGATACATGTTAGGCATACCAAGCTGCTGTCCTCCTTGTCTAACAGTACTAGCTGACAGAGGATTAGGTTAGATAAGAATTACTTGTAGCCAAATTAAAGCATGGAATCAATCAACCAAGTCTTCCGCCGTTGCGTTGAGCCATGTAGGGAGATACAAAATGCACGCTTGGCGATTTTCTGCAGCCAGTGACCACAGGCTATTGGTAATACGTCTCAAAATCGACCTCACTGGCGTTAATGCATTTAATCTTCGTCATTCCCCAGATCGTCTGAGTGCTTATTGTTTCTCAATGTAACTTTTCTTTCCCCTATACATTTTCCCTCATTGTGCTTCTTTTAAATGCATTGGTGGCACAGCGGTTAGGACGCTCACCGACCATGCATATGGTCCGGGTTTCGATTCTTGACCAACCCACTCCTTCACCTCGCAAAGCCAGAAATAAAGCTGGTAAGGAGGAAAGGTTGGAAATGAAGCTAGCAATCCCATCCTGAAACAATAAACACTACTACAGAAAATTCAAGTTTCTAGGTTGAAGCCCTATGATCCACTAGGAACGTGAAGAAATAGAGAGAAATTGTCCTTTTAAATTCCTCCTTTTTTTCTCTACTTTTGTATATCATATGAAGTATGGAGACTTAAAATCCTACACTTCTGTGCAAACTTCCACGTTAAGATAGTCAATCAGTCAGTCAGTCAGTTACACCAAATTGTTTTGATTTTCTTGGGAAAAATGTAACTTTTCTAAAGTACAGTCTGGTTTATTCCGTCCAAAAAAATGCCTTAGATATCACATTCAGTAATAGGCGAAATCAGTACTTTGTCTAAAAACAACTTCACCTCATTATCATAATCAACGGGTATACAAAATGTAAAAGAAAAGATACCGTCTTTTTTGTGTAGAATGCATTTAAGCACACACATACACACAGAAATCAATAATCGGTCGGTAATAACTGATACTTCCTATTGTTATTGTTTTGCTGTAATCAGGGAAAAATCAATGAAAAAAAGTATACTGAACTGAAAAATGGCTGCAAAATTTTATTAGATTAGGAATAAGATGTGATAAAAATAAGAGCAATTTAAAGATTAAAAGTAACAAATTTGCTTTAGTTTTTTTTATTCTGAAAACTAGAAGTAAATTTTAATTCCTGAGGGATGATATGTACTACTGATTGATTTGAGTAGTTGATAAACATTCACCTCAAATAGTAGGGTTAGCTGACCATAGTGAGGTGTTTCAAATACCGGATAGTCATTCAGGCTCCTTCGAAGTCAAGCTCAGTAGTGGTGTACCTAAATTGACTCAGTTCACGGAACTGAATCAGTTGAAATCATCCTTTTCATGATATCGTGTAGACAGAGACCACATACTTTGATCTAAGATATTCGTGTACTGGCAGACTAACATTCATGTAATGAGCAGTGATTGAAGTCGAAATAAAATTTTGGATCACGGCACATCTCAAACTACCTGAGAATTAAATGCCAGTTTGGCGTTCTACCAATTAAGTTATCAAACCTACTCGCTGACCGGATCATCATTTCAGCTATTTGGAGTAGCTTTAGTGTCGTGAGTATAGTGATTGGTGACATGGTTAGCAATTTTATCAGGAAATTGACCACGTAGTGAACCATACTAGTAAACCGAAGTTCATTGGTTCGAGTCACTTCACGTCCAATCATTCCTCTGCAGCGACACACCCAAAGCCTCACCAGAGATCACACTGAAATCAATGCAAATCTCTACAAAATCCCATGATCTAAATAACAGTCTCCAGCTAACTGACGCCCACTAAGTGGATATCCTGAAGCTGTACTGAGAATTCGTTACCAATTGGGCCTACCACGTCAAGCTGAAGTGGATGTACATGGTACGCCATATCAAGAATCAACAAAGCTAGAATTCACGGGTTGTTGAATTATAGCTAAATTGGCTGGATGGTCAGCTATCTTGGTCTCGTAACCTAAAGTTCCTGGATCTGATTCCTTATGACAAGAATAAAAAATATATCTGCGTAACGTTTTAAGTATCTCTTTTATCGACTTGATTTGTTATAAAACTGATCGGTACCTTTAATGGCAATCACATTACGTAATACTTGTAATATAACTGAGTTATATGCCTCTAAATCCTTCTCAGGTTTTGCCTGACAGTAGCTTGTAACCAATTTAAAGTAACAACATTTCGCAGTTATCACACACTCCCAGCATCTTTCGTACTTTCCACCTTTTGTGGAGGCTGAATTCTGCATGGTTGCCAACTCTTTAAACTAATTGGTCTGTTTAGAGTTTATGAAGATTATTGAAAATCTGCCAATTGTTTTATTTGTTGATAGAGAGACTAGAGACTTTTCTGTCAACTCTCTGCCTTCCCTGTTTGTTTTCATGTGCCAGTTGTATTGCTGCTTTTGTCGTCGTGAGAGTAGTTTTCGTTATAGCATTTGATGCTTATTGCTTACGGTTTACTACGTTGAATTATTGGTGATGATAAAAACTACAATACTGCGAGATTGTAGATTTACTGAAACGCATTTGATCATGTTAATAAGATGGAACTACTTATGAAGCTGTATTAAGGCAGTCCTTGCGCAGTCGTTGTATTTTAAAAAGGGCACTAAAATACCCATAACAGTCATCATAATTTCGAAAAGAAATTCCGCTTAAAAACTGGTTATTAGTAATAAACTAAAATATATAGAAATAATTGTTTATTTCAGGATTTCATCATGAGGTGACATTAGTTAGAGAACCATCGTTAAACCTGGGAGCACTGGACAGCTCTTTTGTCCTAGTTTGAGACTCTTCATAAGTACGCACCCACTGGGATTCGTGAATTGGCAGAAGTTAGAACTCAAGGACCATTGGATCGGGTCCCAGTGGCTTAATGGTATACGAGCTAGCTTGCCTTGTAACCGGAAGGTCCTGGGTTCGAATCCAGGTGGGTGCGTACTGCTGAAGAGTCCCAAACTAGAACGAAACAGCTATCCAGTACCCTCAGGTTTTCCAATGGTTCTCTAACTAATGTCAGCTCATGATGAAATCTTGAAACCAATCAATTCCCGACAAACTAACACTTGAATTGTTTATTTCTTAACAGAAATATGGGGAAATAATTTGACCGACTTTATGATAGATAGTTCTTCGCTATTTTTCAAAGTGAGTTCATTCAAATTTTTTGTTTAATTTTGAGTTATTCCACAGAAGTAAATTAATTATCAGGAAAATGATGAATTTTTATGACAGTAAACACGTTACATATAAAAGTTCAAACTGAGCGGCACCTGATAACCAGACAGCAATGAACAGTTTTCTAGTCCGACCCAAATTGTGACTGCTCAGAGGTACTCTTACCCTGTTCATATACGTGTCAAGTATGTTAACATTCCGGCTAGGGGTTTGGAATTCTCTGTCTCATGATTTTGATCTTCTGTCAGGTCGTGATATAGCGTCGATGTCATAAACTATTATTGGCGAATACGTGTCATCACTTCCAATTTCGTGAACCCATCTGGTCACAACTCATTACAACTACAGAGTTTCAATTCCATAGTAACACACCTTATAATCAATGAAATCCCCAAATGGGTAACGTTCAAGAGGTTAAAGTGAATACTTACGATTAACTCTGAAATAATTGGTAATCTTATCACTGTCCGTCACCCTTCCACTGATGATTATTTATGATAAAGGCATTTGTCACAGTAACGCTTCTTGTATTTGTTTCACTTTAATTTGTTAATCGATTTACAGTAATTCGCAATATTTAAATGTAAACACTGTATTAAGCATTTTAAGTATTATTGAAATAAGTTTCCTACTTTGCTAGGAAAAGGCTATATTACCTGCTTCAATCTCTGGGTTACCTGAATTTCCTTAGAACATATTGCATCATAGCTTCTCAAATTCTTATTGTTTTAACCATTCAGATCATGTCATTGTGTCACAAAATATGCTCAAGCACAATTTTTAAATCTTTTTCAACCTATTGGTGCTCATTCTTTGGAGATAAAGGAAAATATCATAAGGGATTTGCTTACTCTTTAAGTCGAACAGAAATGTGTCACATGATGTACACGTGTGTCGGTGGCACAGTGGTTAGGACTTTCATCGACCATGCAAATGGTCCGAGGTTCGATCCCGTGCCGACGCACACCTGATATCTATGGTCGACCTGCAAAATTTGGGCTACCGATATCACATGCTGAAAATTCCATAACTGTACCAAAAATACGGTGTGGAATCAAGCTGTAATAAATAAAATACCGTAGATTGTTGTTTCACCTGAAGATCCTGGATGAAGAGAAAATGTTATACAAACATTTACTCTGAGAATTCTATACACTTTATAAACCTTTTATCCTGAATAAAGTTATTATTGTTTTGTTGACAGTAGGTGGAGTTCTTTGCACAGATCCCTTTTCACATGAGGATGAATGTGCAGTGAGATTGGTTTAAGCTTAAATTGAACAGTGGTCTGTACGCAGATATATGCTTTAGCAGAACACAAGGGACATTTACCGTCATGTATCGAGCTGTGAACAGTTTGCCTGTAGGTGTTCAACTAGTTCTCTTGTCCATTATTACTGAAATTGTTCCTAAAGTAATATGACTCAGTGAGTCGTCCATTAGATGAGTATTTATAATCAACGCATTTATCGCAGTTCTACGTATCTTATTATTATTGTTGTTCCCTTGGGTTCCTAGTGGAACATAGGGCTTCAACTACACGTCCTCACTTGCTTCCGTCTTCTGCTGTACTCTTCACCTGCATTCGTGTTAGTCCATACTGTTTCAGCTCCTCTTCACACGCTCTCCTCCATGTCACCCTTGCACTGACGTCCCACTTGGCGCTTCCCTTTCGGGCTCCACTCGAGCAATGGCCTGACGGGCGATGTCACCCAGCGGTCTCCTCAGTGAGTGTTCAATCCATCTCCACTTTCTCCTACATATTTGTCGGGCGACTAGTTCTTGCTTTGTTTGCTTGTTCCCATAGTTTCTTGTTAGCGATTATTTCCGGACCAGCCATCTGGTCTCCAGTGTAGATCCAGCGAAGACAGCTTTTGATAAAGGTCTTCAACAGGCTGTTGGAAATATTCTTTGTGACCCGCCCGCCAAGTTTCTGATCCGTATAGAAGAACTGACTGACTTGACGTTTGTATTGAAAATCCGAATGAATTTTGTTGTTGATGCTGAGTGACGAAGATTTCCAGATTGGTTTCAGGTTGGTGGTGAATGTGTTTCTCGCCTTCCCGACTCTCTCCCGACTTGACATCCTCGTCCGTTCCGACTGCCTGCAGTTGAGTCAATGCTCCCTAGATAAGTGAATGAATGAAGTAACCTCTTTCAAATTTCTCCTGTTGATGGTGATTGGCGCTAGATGTTGCTGCTGTTGTTGTTGTTGGCTGGTTATTTTCATAACATCCGTCTTGTCTATTTTCACTGTCTTTGCTGCTCCTTTGATCAATTTGTCGGTTTTTGCTTGTAAGTCTTCGATTTTGTGTGACATCAAACATAAATCATCCACGCACGAAATCCAGGTCTTCTAGGTTCTTCGCATCGGTCCAGGATATCCCTGTCACCTCGTTTCCTATTGTCTGGCGCATAATCCAGTCCACTACAATTAAGAATATCATTGGTGATAGTAAACACCCCTGTCTGACTCCTGTGTTTACTCCATCTACGTATTTTGCTTGTTTCATTTTAACTTTTAAATCTGTTCTCAGTAACTGAAATCTAAATATAAAGGGAGAACAGAGTGATTCAGGGAATATTGAAATAATTTGGATAATTTGTGGAAGTAAGGACAATGCATTAGCCTTATTCTAAGATCATATTGTCAGTAGGCGAAATTATTTACACAGATCCCATTTTCAATAACAGTAACTGTGCAGCAATTCCTCAAGTTGAGGGGTTGTTTGTAGACAGTACAAAGTACAAGAAATAGCTACTGTAATATGTCAAGTGCCGAATAGTTTGTCCATGGGTGCGTGATTACGCCTCTTATCCAATGCTGAAGCGATTGGAATCAATAATAACGAAACAATCTTATACATCTAAACAGACACGTTTAACTTCCATATTAACCTTGGTCTGCCATTAAGGTCACCACCAATGTAACACCTCGTACGTTATTATGTCCTTCTGTATCTTAACAATCTCCTGTCTACCCTTCTTACTTCATTCTATCTGGCTTATCTCAAGCAGTTATCGCTATCGGTACTATTATTATTCATCTTCCTTTGAACTAAATTGAAATCCTTGATGGCGATGATTTTAGAGTAGGCGGCCTCCAAACTACTAGCACGGCACTCCACCGGCTGAGCTATGAGACCCAACTGCTAACCAGGTTTTCATTTTGCTGAATTCTCAGCCTGTTTAAAAAACAAGTCTCATATTACCCAGCTCACAACCAAGAGCGTGGCGAAGCAGTAATTTGGAAGCTGCTGGTTTGAATCTCATCACTTCGAAGAATATTACTTTACCCTCAGTCACCACTCACTACATCAGTAACAGTCTGCTAACTAGAGTCTACCTTAAATAGCTGAACCACCAGTTATTCTTTCTGTTAATTGTATTCACACTGTCCCTCATTCTTCTGATTAGAAATCACTGTAATATAATTTGAATTATAAGTGACACAAATATGTCATTTATTCTTTTTATCTTAAATCTACCAATCACTGTGAATTTTAACATGCCTTTAAATCACTATTGTTCCGTCTTTTATTTCAATTGCATTTGATTCTAGCCATCTGATCGTTGTTTATGATATAACCTTAATTTTATGTCTGTTGGCTATTTTATAAAGATATCTATGTATTTCATTTGAAACAGTACAGTCTGAGTAAGAAGTTACTGCAAACAGTAATTAGATCAAATATTAATATTTAGCAAGTGTTGGTTTACGGCTATTTGATTGGTTACGGGATCTCATCATGAGCTGATATCGGTTACAGAACCATTTGAAAACCTAGAAGAAGTGGAAAGCTGTTTCGTTCCACTAGTTTGGGACTCTACAACGGTACACACCCACCACCACGGTTCAAACCCAGAGCCCTATGGCTACAAGGAGAATCCGTAGACTATTAAGCCACTGGGACCCGATCCAATGGTCAGTCCATGAATTCTAGCTTCTGCTAATACACGATACAGCACGACCACTAGCGAATGTCAGCCCGTGATGAGTATATATCCTTACACCTGATCTGCCGTATCTCACTGGTCACGAATTCCCACTAGAATTCAGGTAATTACCTACATGAATAGGGCCAGTAGCTTGTGACCATATTAAAGTGTTGGCTTGTAGGGATTTGATCGGTTACAGCGTACTGCTAAAGAGTCCCAAACTACGATGGGGGAAACAGCTGTTCACTCACTTTCTGGTGGTTTTTTAGTGGCTCTCTAACCAATGTCAGTGCATGATGAGATCCTGTAATTAACAATAACAATAATGACTTTATTCAAAGCACTATTTTTGTTGTGCTTAAACGAGATCTACACTATTCGTCCTTGGAGAAACTTAACAGTCTATATCCCAGCATCCAGTTTACTCCAGAAGCAGAATCAGAATCTAGTGAAATGCCATTTCGAGACTGCCTAGTTAAGAGGAGGGAAAATGGATATTTTAATGCATCCATATTGAGGAAGAAAACACGCCTCAACAAATATTTAGACTTCGGATCATCACGCTCCATCAGCTCAAAGGTATCAGTTGTCACAAGTCTTCTTAGACGAGTACACTCTTTGATAACGGATGAGGAAGATAAAAAAACATTACTGAGACTCTTAAGGAAAGCAAGCACCCAAACAACTTCACCAACAAAATCAACACCGACATTTAATATGGTCCAAAACGTATTCCGAAAATATAGTCCTCAACAGTTGTCATTCCATATAGACCAGAAAGGTCAGACAATATCAGAAGAGTACTCAATAAGCACAACATCAGACACATTACAAAACAACCTTGTCCACATAAAAGACCAAATCCTTAAGGATTCTCCATCTAATTGTGTCTACAAAATAAAATGCTTCCTCAGAATGTGATGCGATATACATTAGACAATGATCGTGAGAAATCAAAATCAGAAGAAATAAACATCGTAGAGAATCTTTTCGACCACTGAGAAATTCAGCTGAACTAAAAAAGCTTGAAA